GGGGGGTAATGTCACGCGTGGGGCCGGGGTTGCGAGGGGGTTAATGTCACGCGTGGGGCCGGGGTTGCGGGTGGGGAGCTCCCCGGCCACCTCTCGGGGTGCTCTGCTCCTCCGGAGATCCCCGGGGCTAAAGCGTGGGGAGCTGTAGCAAGCAAAGCTCTTCCTAAATAGGATTTTTAATTATTATAATATATTTCCCCCCCCCTTTCTGCAGCCCCAGCGGCTCTCTCTCTCTCTCTCTCCCTCTCTCTAGTCGGGCGCTGATGGATTTGACGCTAATGGCACCTTTTGTAATGGCAGTGTCTCTTTTCTGCGATGCGGGAGGAGAGGTCTGAGTCAGGCTGGAAGAGCAGGAGGTTCAGTCGGTATCCGTTCCCTGAGCTAGGGCTCCTCTCTCCTTCACCCCGGCACGGCCCGGCTGGCTGCGAGCCCCGCTGGCAGCCCTCCCCGAGACGTTATTCGGGGCTCCCTCCGGTAACGTGAGGGGCTTGGCGGGTGGATGGGACAGGGGGGGCAACCGGTGGCTGTGCAGCCGCTGGAGCCCCAGATGCTAAACCCCGGGCCCGAGAGGCGTGCGTGGCCGGGGAGCCATGGGGAGGGCGTGCGGGGGCCGTGCCCAACGTTCCCCTCCGCCGTGCCCGGTGAACATGGGGAGTGCCCGTCGGCGGTGGCCGCGTCGCATGCGTAACGTGCTCCGGGTTTTGTTTACTAATACGCTTTGACAGGGGCCCTGTGGGACGGGCGGGCTCGGCTTCCACCACCTCCACGCCTGTGGCCAAAGAGCCACGGGGTGGAGGGGGGTGGGGGGACGGGCGACAAAAAGTTTCGCCTTTTCTTTCAAAAGGCCCTTTTTTTTTCTTTTTTTCTTTTTTTTTTTTTTTTGCGGAACTTTGCCACCGGTTGGTTGAGTTGCACAAGTACAAACAGCCGTTCTCCTGCCGGCTTTGGCACTCACATGACTCAGAGGAAGCTGGGCTGTAAACAAACGCGCTGCGATGAGCAGTTACCATGTTCCCACTCACTTTTTGGTGCAACGGTCAGATAATTCCCTTTGCAAAATGGCCGCTGGGCATGCCTTCCTCGGGGAGCTGCGCCGGGGAGGTGTCATCTCCTAACTCCAGCCTGCTCTCACCTCTTCCCTGTGACATTCTGAGGCTTTTCTTACCCGTTTTGCTGGCTGCCCTCCCCCCCGCACTCCGCCTGTAGGGAGTAGAAATTGGTGGAGTTTGGGCAAGTTGGGTGGTAATTCACGCTGCCTTCACTCGTGGTCTCCTCGGATTCAAAGTGCCGCTCCAGGGGCACGGTGTGAGTCGGAGCAGCCTGCTTGCCCCCTGAGGATATTCCTCCTGCCTCTAAGACCACCGTGGGGAGAGGTGTTCTCCATGGTGGAGCTTGACAGCCTGGTGGCAAGATGGCAGGAGCTGTGTTCTCCCAGCCCTGTGGCCCTGTCCTGGCCAGGGCACTCCTGAGCCGTTGGCTCACCGGCAGGAGGGACAGGGAAGCTGCTGTGAAATGTGGACAGCTTCAGGCTGGTGGGATGCTGATGTTTTAGGACGGTTTTCCTGGGCTGGGGCTGCTTTGGGGCCTTTGTTGGCTGGTGGGGGCTGCAGAAGAGGGTCTGTTGTGCGTGGTGTCCTCCTGACTCTGGCTCCTGGAGTTTGTCTGTGGGGAAGGAACCTGATCCAGGACAACGAGCAGGGTGGGAGATCAGGAAACCACTGGGGACACAGCTGCCCTCGATGCAGCACGGGCTGATCGGAGCCCATACCATACTCACGGGCTTGACAAAGAAGCCATTTATTTTGCATCCCCTCCATCCCGGGGGGAGCGTGGCAGCTCGTGGGGAGCATGTGGATCGCCTCTCCCACTCCCGTGACTCCGCTCCCGTTTCACGGGGGCCCAGGGCAGGCTTTCTGGGGGCACGCCTGGTGTAGTTTGTAGCTCTGGCAGGACCGTGAGCTCTGCCATGCTTCCAGGGACAGCCGTGGTGGGTGCCAGCAGGAATGGCCCTGCCAGCCCAGCCCTCCAGCAGCTGGAGTAGTGCCATGGCTGATCGGAGGGGGAGGCTTACAGGCCGAAGGAAGCGACTCGGAGCGTCCCCGGGGGAGGGCTGGCACTCGGCCTCCGGGGACACAGGTGCCAGGTTTTTGGGAGAAGCCAGGGAGGGCAGGAGGTACCTCCACCACGGCTGGAACCCAGCGGGCCACAAAGGAGACATTTCAGAGTTTGCAGAGTGTCATGTTGGGCTGTGCTGAGCCGTGGATCAGGCTCCTTCTCAGGTAGAGGAGTATTAATTGGCTTTGTTACGGGCTGATTGCCCGTGGGACTGCTTGGGAAGGATAAGAAGACATCAGCTTTATAAAAAAACCCACCCGTTCCTTCCTTTTTCCTGGTGCTAAGTGTCGTGCCTCTGTTCAGCCTAGTGAGGTTGTGTGTGGGGAACAAGAGGAGGAGCAGGTGTCTGGCTCTGCCCGCTGCATCCGTGGTTGGATTTCCACTTCCTCTTCTGATTTATTTTTGTTTTATCGAGCCCCTTTCCCTTTCCTTTGTGGCTCAAGGGCAGAGTGCCCCTGGGACTGCTCTAGCACCAGGGGGTCCTTGCTACTGGTCCCCTGTCATGGCAGCGGGTGGAAGTGCAGCTCCGGGGGCGACGGGCAGGGGATCAAACAGCCCCCTGGGCCCCGTCTGAGCGGCTGCAGAGGGCTGGGTGTCCCCCTCTTCCAGGCTGAGTTTGTTCTTCTCAGCACCCGGGTCTCCTTGCATTCACCGCCCCTGCACCTGTCCTCCCCTTGACTTGGTCACCACAAGGTGCTTCTTGGCACCCTGGTAGGATCTCTCCGTGATCCCCCTCCTGCCAAGCTCCTGGTTTTGCGTCCTGGGGGAGGGGGGATGCGGTGGTCTGGCCACCTTCCGAGCGTGGCCGGGTGGTGGGTGCAGGGCTGCCCTGCGCCCGCTGCCACCCAGGGTGTCACAAGCCATGGGGCCTTTGGTCCAGGGTCAGGGCTGAGCTGCAGCTCGGGCTCCTTGTCAAGCAGAGGAGCCTTAATTGGCTTTGCTGTTGTACTGGTTGTCCCCGGCGCTTGTGACGCTGGCTGGAGACCAGGCAGCATCAGCAGCTTTGGTTACATGTGTGTCCCTGGCACCCTGTGCCACCAAGGCCTCTCGCCCGCCTGGGTTGGGGCTGCTGATGGTCCTTGGGAGGTGGCAGCTGGAGGGACACAAGCCGCGGGGATTGTGGGCAGAGGGGACGCTTGGAAATGGGCAGATGGGGGGGAGGAGACAGCATTTTAGGCAGAGGGGCTTGTGATGATGGAGTGCTTCCTCCAGCCAGGTCTCAGCCCTTATCCTGGTGCCAGCAGGGATTGGTGGGCAGCCCAGGGGGACAGTGGGGACCTTCTGTGCCCCTGTCTGCTGATGGCACAGTCCCAGGTACGAGGCCACTTGGAGAACAGGAGTGCAGAGCAGATGTAATCAGCTTATAGTTATCTGGCTGTGCCCACACCTCTGCCTGTGCTTCCCGTTCACTGTTTTCCCCCCTTCCTTATCACCACCCCTTCTGTCTGAGCGATAGCGCGGGTGGGTGTTGACATCGGACCTCACCCAGGACGAAGGGTAGCATGGGTGAGGGGGGTGTTGCTGCCTCAAAAACATCCATGTCTCCATCGATCATTTCCTTAATTGGTAGACATGTGCCAGCCCGTTCAGAGCTGATCTTTGGGGTCGTAGCCGCTATTCCTGCTTTATGGCCATCACTGAAATCCAGTGGGTCCTGCCTGTGGGTGCTGAGATCTCTCTGGTCTCAGCCTGGCTGGGTGCAGGGTTCGGGTGCTGTGTTATTAAACGCAGAGATACGCAGATGTCATGGAGAGGAGCCTTGCCAGCCTGGCTATTGCATCCTCCCACCAAGGTCCGGGTCCTGCCAGGCTCTACAGCAGCAATTGCTTCCCCCACCCAGGTCTGGATTATTATTGTTTGCAGATACGGCTCCTGGCTGCCACCTGGTCTTGCCAATAATTTGTCCCCCTTTAGCCAGGAAACCATAAAGCCCCGCTGCAAGCCACTGGCACCAGCTCCCTGGCGATGTGAGTGAAGCCCTTTTGCCTTCCCAGAGCCCTGCCAGCCTGGGTGTTTTGGGGCAGAATGGTTTCCCATCAGACCAGTAAGCTGAGTTGACTTGTTCGTCCCGTCCCCTGGGTGTGACACAGGAGTGTGTGACTGTTGGGGACCAGGACGAGGAGTGCGTGTGGTGGTAGGACTGTGGGTAGTGCTGTGGGTTCGGTACGACCGGCCTGTGCTTTTTTCCAGGTTTTTCTTCTTTTGTTTTGTTTTGTTTAGCAGCTTGGGTAACGCCAATCACTGGCTGGCAGGAAGGGAGCAAAGTCTGGTAGCTCCTGGCCACAGCCCCGAGCCTCGCACCCTGGCTAGTAGCCCTGCAAGCCAGGCTGGCCCTGGGGAGAGGGGGATTGAAGGGGGGTTGATGCAGGGCTGGGGGAGGCTTCTCCTCCAACCAGAACCAAATCCAAACCGATTCTCAAACGTTTCTACCAAGTCTGATCTCCAACTGAATCAAAACATTGTTTTCTAGCCCTCACTCAGCTAAAGCCTGGCACAGAACAGGAGGCAGCTTCGCCTTCGCTGGTCCTGCATCAGCCCAGTCCCTCGTGCCCCCCAGAGCTCCCGCTGCCTCCCTTCCTCCCGGACCTGGGCTGAGTGTCTGCCCTCCTGGCCAGCCCGTGTCCCCGGCGTTCCCTCCCTGCAGCCCCTCCTTTGTCCTCTCACATGCCTGTGGCATGTGACACATTTACCAGATTTTTTACTGGTCTGAACTGGAAGCTAACCAAAACTGCGTCAGTCAGAACCGTACCCCGCCTGCGACAGAATTGGGAGTGCTCTGCTCTGTGGGGTGCACTACCTGTTGCAGCCCTGGCCCTGGGGGTCTCCTGAGTGTGAACATGGTGACCAGCGATCTTGTCCCATTAAGGACACGTGTCTAAACCGGTTCCTGCTGGGCTTCCCCTGCTGGGTTTGGGTTTGGTTCCCCCCCTCTCCCTGCACGCGGCGGTTGCGGAGCGTCGCTGTGAGTTGTGAAATGCCTGCCCGGGGTCTGCTCCAGCAGTGGCTGCTTCTCAGCAACGAGCACAGTGATCCCAGACACGTGCGATCCCTTCCTGCCTCGCTGCAAGCAGACATCCCTGCTTGGGGACACAGGAGCAGCTGTCCCCAGCGCTTTCCCATGCGGGCAAGGGGGCTGCGGGCACAGTCCAGCCCCTTCCACCCTGGGGTCTATTTTGGATCATCTTTGGGGTCTTGCAAAGCCCCGCCGTTGTGTGCAGGGATGAGGTGTGGGCGCCAGTTTGTGTGCTGGTGGTAACATCATCTTCCCTTTTTTTTTTTTTTCTTCTTTTTTCTTTTCTTTCTTTGCACACTGCTCTCAGTGCTTTTTTCCAAGAAACAAACATCCCCTACAGCCACCACCATCAGATGGTAAGTGCTTTCCCACCTCCCCAGCGCTCGCCAGGGGCACAGCACCAGCTGGCGGGCGCTTTGGGCTGTTGCTGATGCCCAGCTCGCCGCTTCACCCCTCCGGGAGCACGGGCAGAGCTGTCTGCCAAGGAAGGTTTTCCTGGAGAGCAGCCGGGGGTGGCATAGCCTGTCCTACACGGTGGGACAGCAGGTCCAGGAGTGCCCTCGGAACCCTGCAGAGGGCTTGGGGCTGCTTCTCAGAGAGGGATGGTCCGATGGGGTGATGTTTTGGGCATGGCAAGATGGTCCGGACCAGCCCCAACATGGCAGAGATAGCCTGGGGGGAGCTCTCTGTCGTCGTAGGCTGTGTAAACACGCAGAGGTACGTGCAGGCTGCCCAGATGCACACGTGAGTCCTTGTGCACTCGCTGGAGCAACTGAGCGTGCAAACCTCTGCCCTGCTGCAGTGTGTCTCTGGCACAGTGCTCCTCTGGAGGTGTGTAAACACACAAGGGTGTGTGTGTGCATGGGTGCTGCCCGCCTCCCAGCTGTCCCCAGACCCGGTCCCTTTAACTCCCCTGCCCTGGCAGCCCGTAATCTGCCTGGGCAGATGTGTCTTAGGGATTTGCTGGCTGCCGTGGCCTCATTTGACTCTCGGGGACAATTGGGGATTTGGAGCGTGCAGTAAGCGTGCAGAGCGAGCGCCCGGTCTCCCCTGGGGCGGGAGCTGAGCCTGAGCCTTGTGTCCACCGGGCCAGAAAGCTGAGGGCCCAGGGTGGCACTGAGGACCCCTTCTGTCCCCAACTTGGCAAGGCACAGTGGGGTCCGGTCTGGACCTTGTGACAGGAGCTTTCAACCACTGCCTTCATCTTCAACCACAGCCTTAAATAACTGCTGCTTGCAGGCAGCATCGTCAGCAGGGGATGGGTCTGGGAGCTCCGTGTGCTGCAGCGGTGGGGGCAGAGGGATCTTCTGCTGGGCCCTGGTGGGAGGCAGAAGGTGGAGACCCTTCCCACACGCCTCATCCCGTGTCTCCTTCCTGCAGATGTGCACTCCCGCCAACACGCCGGCCACGCCGCCCAACTTCCCTGACGCCCTCACCATGTTCTCCCGCCTCAAGGCCTCCGAGAGCTTCAACAGCAGCAGCCCCGTGGCCTCCATGGCAACTTCGCCGCCGCCCCCGGCCCCGCCGCTGCCCCAGCATGGGGCCTTCAACCCCGCCTGGCCCACGGCTTCGCCCCCCGGCCAGCAGCAGAGCATGTGGACTCCGGCCCCCCCGGCGCAGCCCGCCGGCTGGCCAGCCGCCGTCTCCCAGCAAGCCACAGCAGAACAGAAGGCCAACGTGACCATGGAGGCAGAGAGATGAGGCCGCGGTGGAGAGCAAACGCAGCGGGGACCCCTGCGTATAAATATATATATATATTTTCCCCCCTCCCCCCCCCTCCCCACAGAGGAGAGGAACTCTGCTGCCAGGGCCTCTGGCAGCCGCCGAGACACACGAGCAAATAGCTGCCTTGCATGGGTTTGGTTTGAAGTAGTTTTTACTTGTCCTCGAGCTGAACGGAGCTCCCCAGGGACAGCGGGAGGCTGCGTGGGACGTGGGACTGGTGCTGGCCTCCGCCTGGGACCCCCGCCGCTGCCGGGCTCCTCGGGAGGGAGGGAGGGAGCACCCCCTCCTCCTCTCTTGGGACACTGGAGTTTGCATGCGAGTGACATTTACGGAGGAGGTCCCTTCTTCACGGTCCCCCTGGGCCGCCCCACCAGGCAGAGTGGGTTGTATCGGAGTGTTTGCCCCCTTCCCTCAGCCCCTCTCCACCGGGTGGGGGGCAGACACCCCAAGCACCTTGTTTTTTGTAAGGGGGGGGAGATGGGGGGTGGGGGGGAAGAGAACAAGGACTGTTCCTGCTCGGCCGCAGCCTCCACCACGCATGCGTCGTGCTCGCTGGTGAGCAGGGCTGGGGGACACCGGGGGGAGGCACCCGGCCCCTCGCCCGACCCCAGCGAGCTATGGGGAGCAGGGGGTGGCCCAGCTGGGCCAGCACACACCCTCCCCTGCCCTCCTTGGGATGGGGTTTGCCCCCGGGGGCTGTTTGCATGACACAGTGTAACCCTAGAGACTGGGATCGTTTTTAACCCCTCTGTTCTTTTTCTCCCGGCGGCTGGAAGTCTCTCTGGATGCGCCGCAGCCGCTTGCAATACACGCTCTTCTGCTTTGAACCCAGTGTCTTTGCTTTGTTTGCAGCAGCGGTGGGACTGGGGGAAGGCTGGCCTGGGCATGAGGTGCTGCAGGATCCCCTCTCTGAGTGGCTCCGAAGCATATTGTGCCTCCCAGCTGGGGCTGGCCGCCTCTCTGCTGCATGTGAGCTGCTCCAAACGCTTGTCCCAGCCGTGTGGTGGCTGCCAGCTGCCTCTGGCCAGGTACATCCAGGGCTCAACCCCAGCAGAAGCCAGCTGGGTTCTGCCTGCAGCCCCACCACATCAGCTGGGGGTGGGCAGACCACACCAGGAGGCAGGGGCAGGCTGATGGCAGGGCTGCAGGGAGCCCTGTGTGACACCCACAGGTCCTGGGTGTCTTGTGACCTGGCTCCTGTCCTCTCTTTGCTGGATGACAGGGACCAGGTCTCTTAGTGGTTGCCGTCCCTGCTGAGCCCTCTCCCCATGAGGCCGTGCCCCTCTGTCCCAGCACTCGCCAGTCAATAATTAATTTCAATCTCTTATTTGTGTTGCTAAAATAAACATTGTAGGAGCCATGGTTTCACCCACGGTGCCTCTTGTACAGCCTCGGCAGAGGCTGGGAGCGAGGGCTGGGGCTGGGACTGGCTCTCACAGGGTTGTGCTGGAGCTGCGTGGCTCAGTCCTGCCCCACTGAGGTGGACTGGGCCAAGCTGGTGGCATCTGGAGCGAGCTGGTACTGTGGGTCTCATGTCCTGACTGCCATGGCCTGAGCACATCGAGGCTGGTGTGGAGTCCTACTAGGAGTGGGGATGGTCTGCAAGGCATGGAGCCCACCCAGGGGAGACAGAGAAGGGATCCATCCCTGACCTTAGAGGGAGACACGGAGAAAGGATCCATCCCTGACCTTAGAGGGAGACACCTGCCTGTGAAATGCAGGTGAAGCCACGTGGAGACCTAGGTAGCAGGGAGGGGAACCTGCTTTTGACTGTCCCAGGGCCACCAGGAGCCGTGGGACTGGAAAATCCAGGGCCACACCACAGACCTGAACATCTGGCTGGTCAGAGAGAGCTCACAGGGACATGGCACAGCCCGAAAGCATCAGGTTCTGGTTGCTGAGTCCACAAAGATACCCCACATGCCCCTGCAAAGCCCAGGGACCACACAGGAGAGGCAACAGTGGAGGGAGCATCTTTATGGCCTGCGGTGTTACCCCACTGCTGTGGCAGCGTGCCCCCCGACCCCACCAGTCCCCTGGGGCCGGGCAGCACAGCCCTGATATGCCTGCCCCCTCCCCGTTTCATAGCTCCCTGGCCAGCTCAGAGGCCTGCTGTCCTGCTGCCACCTGCGTCAGCCTGCCACTAGCCCCCGGAGGAGCTGTCTTCGTCCGCCTGGCAGCACCTGCAATGCAGAAGGACAAACAGCCTTGCACAGGGACACGATGCCCCCTGGGCTGAGCCTGAATGGTGGGGCCGGTGGCCCCAGAGTGGGGGGGACAAGCAGGGCTGGCACTCACATGAGTATGGGGACACGTAGTGGGTGCCGTACTTGAGGGCACGGCGCATCTCCAGGGTGTGCCGGGAGTGGGGCTGGGGGGTCTTCGTTGCTTTGGGATGAGCAGGAGGCACCGGTTGAGGTGGGTGCGCAGCCTGGCTGGAGCTGTGCCCTGGGGCTGCTCCCCTACCTGGGGGGTCCTTGCCCACAGTGACGGTCCTGTTGGCAGCCAGCGAGCTCAGCCTGCCCTTGTAGACAACCCCGTTGACACCCAAAATATCCACTTCTCTCTAGAGGGAAGAGCAGCTGGTGCCATCGGAGGTGCACCAAGGCTGTGCCCAGCCCAGGGAGGACTCAGTGGGTTTCCAGAGCATAGGGACACACGGGGATGTGGGCTCACGTTCTTGCAGGTGAAGTCTGCAGTGTCTCCGCAGGGACAGACGGTGATGAGGGAACTGGAGGTGGATGGTGGCCCGTGAGGACTCGTGGGGCTTCCCCGGCTGCCCCTGCTGCTCCCTTCACTCTCCCTGGGTGGGAAGCAGTGATGTTACCCCTCCTGCCCAGGCAGAGGGACCCCAAAGGGATGTGGTGGCACCTGACAAAGCCTCACCTCCCTGGCAGTGGCTGTGCCAGGCAGTTGGATCTGCCGGCGCTGGCTGGCTGGGGCCGGAGGATCTGGCTGGCTTTTCGGACTGTCACCAAGGGCCTGCAGATGAGGACATGGAGGCAAAGTTGGGCAGTGGTCTCTGGTGGAAATGCAGCACGGGGGTCTGTCCAGGGAGGGCTGCACAGTACTCACGGTGCCGGGGCCGTGTCCAGGGGTCTGTTGCAGGAGAGGCACTTCACTGGATCAAAGAGCTGCCTGTAGCACAGGGGCGGCTGCTCAGCACCCCAGGGACCATGCGAGGTCACATGGGTGGCCAGCACCCCATGGACAGGGTGGGACTGACAGGGCAGGATGGGACAGCATGGGAGGGGATGGGGCAGCACAGGAGAGGACAGAAGGGGACAAGATGGGATCCAGCAGCTCCCACCTCTTGAACCCAGCAGCCCGGTTGGCACCACAGCAGCGTCCCTTGCAGAGGCACCGTTGGGTGAGCCTCCAGATCTGCTCCAGCTTTGCCTGCAGGGGAGCCAGGGCCGCGCAGTCCAGCTGCAGGGAGGGCAGGGGGGGTCTCATTGGGACACCAGCCCCATTTCAAGGGATGCTGTTGCCCCTGAGGGACATTGGGGGCACCTTGGGACACATTCAGGGCTCACTCTCCCCATGCAGGGATGTGCTCCCTGGCCTGGTGCATCCCTCCATCCCTACCACCATACCCGGGTGACACTATTACCTTGGAGTCCATCTCGCTGAGGAGCTTCTCTAGGTCTTTCTGCCTGTCCTGGTCCAGCAGGGACATCCTCTGCAGCAGGTTCTGCATCATCTGGCTCAGCTGGACCATGGCATGTTGCAGCTCATCCTGGCTCAATTTGGTCTCCAGCGCAGCTTTGTCGGCTTTCTGGGGGGGGACATGGTGGGGACACACCAAGTCTGGGCAAGCCTCTACCCAGCCTGGTTCAGATGCCAACCACGGCTCAAGCGGCTCCTGAGCTGATCCCAGGGCTGTGCTCACCTGGGTGTCCCCGATGTCACCCCACAGCCGCTCCGCAGCTTCCTGCAGCCTCGCGCACTGCTCCTTCAGCTGTCCCACCTGGTCCAGCACCTCCCTGCCGAAATCCAGCCCCTGGGGAGGACAAGTGGGGCCCTGAGTGGCTGCAGGACACAGGTGAGGCAGGGAGGTATGCTTATGGGTGGCCCCAGGAGTGGCTAGTGAGGACATCCCAAGAGATGTCCCTGTGCAGCCCGGCAAGCAGGCTGGGGGGCTGCAGCCCCCAGACTCTCAGGCAGTACCCCCCCAGGGATCGGGCAGCTGGGCACCTTCGCTCCTTCATCCTGCAGGTGCCTGGTCTCGCTTGGCACCTTCTCCAGTTGGGCAGCCGTGTCCTCCAAGGTCCCCAAGTCGGCTGAAAATAGACACCAAAGCTTTGCTCCAGCTCCTGCAGGCCCCCAGCATGGTGACATCCCAAACCCTGGTGGCTTTATGGCTGCAGAGCCCCCCCAGTCCCCTTGCACGGCCAGCACCAGGGCACCCAGGGGTGCCACAAATGACAGTCACCACACCCCAAGTCATGCCAGCATGGCTGGGAGCAAAGCAGAGGGATGAGGGGGGCTGCAGCAGCTTGGGGACTTGGATGGGATGGCTGAGCGTGGCCCTGCCATCCACCAGTCCTGGCAAAGGTTCGGTGGCACAACCCAACATGGTGGCTCTGCATGGTGGGGGTGTTGGTGCTCACAGTACTGCTGGAGTTGGCTCTCACAGTGGCTGACGACTTCATGCTGCTCCATGAGCCAGCTCAGCTTGCATGGGGCCTCATGGGATGGCTCCTGCAAGGGCTCAGGGCTGAGCTCCTGGCTGGAGAGCTTCTGAAACGAAACAGCCCCCAAGGTTTTGGGAAGTGAGAAGATCCCCGTGCCATCCTCCAGTTGAGGGGCACCGACAGCTCCCAGCAAGGGGGTCTGGCACCTGGGAGCCTGCACGCACCTCGCCAGCGGCCACCTCGCAGAAAGACCTCTGGCAGAGCGTGGTGCCATGCCAGGGGAAGGCGCTCAGCTGCTGCCGCACCTCTGTCTGCAATCAGGAGAGAAATCAGCCCTTCCACCCTGCTCTGGGAGCAGAGAGCCCGGGCAGCCCCAGGATGAGAAGGGCAATGCCAAACCGTGCCAGGTCCTTGCAGGGGACCTTGCAAGTCCCCCCTTGCACACCCCCTGGGGCCTCAAAATCTAGAGGGTATAATCCACCCTGTGTCTGTGCTGCCACCTCCCAAGGTGATGATACGCTCCTGGCATTGCAGGAGGGATGAGAGCAGTGGAGGTGGCTGGTGGAAGCCACCAGGGCACCCAGGGATGGATGTCCCTGCTCCAACAGTTGGGAAGGTGACGTGGACCCTGCCAGAAGAGCCTTGTGGGGTCAGATGCTCACCCAGAGAGGTCACCATGGCCAGGGAAGCCCTTGGAAGGCTTGAGTGCATTTTCCATAAGGATTTGCCAAAGCCTGGCTCTGGACAGCTTGAGGGCTGAATGCCTCTGTGCCACAGTGCTGCAGATGCCCACTCCCTGTCCCTCTGCCAGGGCCCCCCCTACTCACCAGTTGATCCAGGATGCTCTGGAGGAGATGGCTGTTCTCGTCCTGCTTCACTGACTGCTCTTGCAGCTCCTCCAGATCCGCCTGCTAAAGAGAGGCATTGAGGGGTTCAGCACCCACAGGGGTTGGGAATGGTGGGGATCAGCATCAGCAGGGACAGGCAGGGATGGGCAGTGCTGGGCTGGGCAGGCAGTGTCTACCCAAAACCCCTGGGCTTCAGGGCAAACCCCACATCTCCCAGCTTAGCCTTGGGGTGGGAAGGAGCCTGACCTTGGGACCTCATCCCTGTCACCCTGTGCCACCTGGCCATCCACGCAGGTCCCCGGTGAGCCCAACTGCTCTACCAAGAGCTCTTCAGCAACCAGCCCAGCTTCATGCACACACCTTCTGGAATCTGTCCTTCAGGAGCTGCAACTCATCCTGGAAGCCCTCAACAGTGGTTTTCAGGGAGCAGGTGGTGGTGAGCATCTCCTGCAGCATGTCCATGACCTGTGGAAAACAGGTTTGGCCAGCGATTCTGAATCCCCATAGGCTCCAGGGGACATGGGTAGAAGGGAAGGTAAGTGCTGTGCAGTGAAAACCCAGATTTGGGGGTGTCTTTGGGACACCCTGGAGCATCAGCCACATCTGGCCTGCCCATGGCCATGCCCACAGAGCTCCCCCAAACTGGAGAGGAAGGCACTCAAAAGGAACAAGTGTCCCAGCTCCAGCTTCCTCCCACACCCTGGCAAAGTTCTGTCACCTTTTCCCTTTGCTCTGTGGGAGCCAAGGCCATGACACGTGAGAAGGGATTGGCTCGGGGCTGCCAGGTCTCACAAGGGATGAAGAAGTGTTGGGTTTGCTGTGGGTCAGCCCCATGCTGCCTGTGGAGAGGACAGCCGGGCACAAGGCCACCACAACGCATCCTTGTGCTGCAGTGTGTGGCTCGAGCAAGGAAGACAGCTCTGATGTTAAGTGTTGCTTTTCCCACTCGGTCTCTAAACTTGAACAGCCGAATAACTTTGAACTTGTGCTGCGACAGTGTCTCCCACGGGATCCTGCCTTGGTGTGGGAAACAGCCTGCCTGCGAGGCAGCACTGCTGTCACCCACAGGTCAGCCGCTCACTCTGCCACAGGGAAGAGAGAAGAGGAGCCTGACAGGGATTCTGCTGTCCCTGCACAGCTGCAGGACCCTTGCCAGGGCAGGATGGGACCCAACAGACCTAAATCTCAGAGCAAGTACTGATGAAGCCTCAGCAGAAGGTGAGCAAATGACCAAAACCACCTTTGGCCAGTGGCTGTGGTAAATACTGCCCTTTAATTAGTCCCAAGTGGAGCTGGGGCCACCAGAACCAGAAAGGTACCTCTGTGCTTCGTCAGGCTCCTTGATCCTGGGGTGGCAGATGTCACAGCAAGGGCAAGACACAACACAGGCATCTCACTGTGTAGTGCAGGACACTACACAGGACTGGACACCATGTGTGGCAGGACGCCGTGTCGGGTGACAATATGGGGCATGGGCAGGACCCTGCAAAGGGCAGGACACGGTGAGGGGCAGGAGCAGTACATTGTGTAGGGCAGACTGTGGCATAAGCCAGGACACCATGCTTGTGTAGGACAGCACACTGTGTAGACCAGGACACTGCACAGGGCAGGATGTGGCACCCTGATGAGGATGGGTGCTATCCAGAGGATGGTTTCTCACCTTCGCCATACCCTCCTCAGTCACTTCCATCCTCTTCTTCAGCTGCACCATTTGCCACTCCTCGGCGGCCTGCCTGCCCAGGGCCGGCAGCTCTGCGGTGCCCAGGGGCCTGCTGGGGCGGCTGGGCTGCCCCTCTGCCCTCCCCTGCCACAGCTGCCTCTGCTGATGGAGGGAAGAGGGCTTCCCCCTGGCCACACGGGCAGTGGGCTCCGAGGGACTCCTCTCGTTCTCCCCAACCTGTGCCACTGCCTCCTGCGGGCAGAGGTGCTCCAGGAGGCCCCGCAGGAGGATGCGGAAGGCACCGACCTGGGGGTTGCCGCCATTGGCCATGCCGAAGGCCAGGTCTGCCAGCTCAGCCAGCGTGACGGTGACACTCATCCTGCCTTCGGGCCCCCCCAGGGGCGCCCTGGGCCGGGGACACTGGGCGGGGGGGCCGGGCTGAGGTCACAGGGGACGTTACCGGGAGATGGCCCTAGGGTTCTGCCCCAGCCCGTTCGGCAGCAGCCCGGGGCAGGGAGGGGAGCAGGCCCCCGGCCTGGTGCGGCTTGGCAAGGCCCCGGCCCGGCGGAGGGGAGCAGGCCCCGGGGGCGGCCTAGCAAGGCCGGCCGGGGGTTAGCAGGCCTCGGACCCTGCCTGGTGCGGCCCGGCGGGGGGAAGCAGGCCCCAGACCCGGCCTGGTGCCGCCCGGCGCGGGGGGAGCAGGCTCCGGACCCGGCGGAGAAAGAGGCCCCGGCCCGGCCTGTAGCGGCCCGGCGAGGTGGAGCGGGCCGCGGCCTGGTCGGGGGGAGCAGGCCGCAGGCCCCAGCCCCCGGCCCCCAGCTGGGA